CACACACACACACACACACACACTCTCTCACACACACACTCTCATACACACACACACACTCTCTCACACACACACTCTCATACACACACACACACTCTCTCACACACACACTCTCATACACACACACACACTCTCTCACACAAACACTCTCATACACACACACACACTCTCTCACACACACACTCTCTCACACACACACACTCTCACACACACACACTCTCACTCTCTCACACACACACACTAGTGGTGCTCCGATTGATGGGCTACCGATCACTATCGGCCGATAATCACGTTGGGATGATTGATCGGCGGTCTCTAAAAAGGCCGATCTCATGAAACCGATCTCAAGCTGATGATGCTGTGAGAGGTTTGGCACGGCATGCAGCGGCACCGTCTCAGTACGGCACGGGTGAAATAATTATAATGCTGAAGGTGAGGTACTCATCTTCATATTTCTTAACACACACACACACACTCTCTCTCTCTCTCACACACACCTTCATCTGGGGCTCCAGCATCGGATCCTCCTGAACATTAAAGTAACTTTATAAAATATGCATCATTTCAAAGCAGCTTTACGTAAATCCTGATATTAATGTTTCTAAGATCTTCACGCCTAATAAATGCACTGACCAGATTAGAGCTGGATGAGAATATTACATCGTGTGGTGATGTAAACAATCAAGCAGTTGATATCTGCAGTACAGCAGCGCTTTATGAACTGTACGTGGATAAAGCTGGATATGTTAGACATAGGTTGGAGTCATTAATTTATTCTATGGTGATATTGAGGATTATGACTGTTTTGTGCAGTTTATAACAGATTGATACAGTGTGAAGTGTAATATTATATGGTTATGCATGTCAATGATGTGATTAAATTATGCATATTAATGACAGGGTTACAGTTTTGATCATATCGCATACTGACAGCAGTTATGGAATAATATTTATCCACAGGCCTGTCACTATTATGGATTAATCGGCTGATGGTGGTTATTTGATCCAATCACGATTATTTGAGATAACTGTGCAGTTTATATTCCAATCCCAAACAAGCATGACAGCGACGGAGTTAGAAAACATCAGTAAAACTGTGTACATAGTATCAGCTTTGTTTGTTTCATGTATCTGTAAAGCTCCTGAAAGACACTATATGAAAATGAAGTATTATTATTATGTTATATATTATTATGATCCGTACACATCACCACCACAGAGAAACAAGCAGATATCTATCTGTGTCCCTGCAGCACAAAAGCAGTGTTGAGTCGCTGGGGGATATTTGTAGCAATAGCCAACAACACATTGTATGGGTCACAATTATACATTTCTCTTTTATGCCAAAAATCATTAGGATATTAAGTAAAGATCATGTTCCATGAAGATATTTAGTAAATCTCCTACCGTAAATATATCAAAACTTAATGTTTGATTAGTAATATGCATTGCTAAGAACTTCATTTGAACAACTTTAAAGATGATTTTCTCAATATTTAGATTGTTTTGCACCCTCAGATTCCAGATTTTCAAATAGTTGTATCTCAGCCAAATATTGTCCTATCCTAACAAACCATACATCAATGGAGAGCTTATTTCTTCAGATGATGCATTCATCTCAATTTCACAAAATTGACCCTCATGACTGGTTTTGTGCTCCAGGGTCACAGATAACCTGACCTAGTAAACAGCGCTAGTAAAGCAGTAGACTAGTTCAGACGACTAAACCAAGCCCAGCACAGCTGTCTACCGCGTCACGAACAAAAACACCATGTTTCTGGGCATGGAGTTCAGTGAAGCTCTTAGATCTCTAACACTGTTATGATTACGTGTGCATTTACACACATTTACCTCAGATTACCACAGCAGCGGGTCATGTGACATGCGTTGTATGGAATCACATTCAGCATGAAGCCAACGCCTTTCACACACACACACACACACACACACACACACACACATACACACTCTCTCTCTCACACACA